AGCTACTAATGTATTTGTTTTTCAACTTGTTAATGCTAAGAAAACCTACCAAACTATTTTGTTTAGAATGAATGCTCTATGTAATTTTTACAATAGAAAAAAATATTTGTAGGTAAGCGGTCAACCTTAGGTGTAGAAATTTGAAATGAATGTAAAGTTAAGCAACGAATTTCCCAATTGGAAATCCAAATACCAAAATTTTATTCAAGGGAAATAACTTTCACAAGAACATCTAAATTAACCAAGTGTAACTAAGACATGATTGAAAAACACAATTAAAAGCTCTAAATTTCTTTACGTAATAATTCTAACAAATCTTTTATATTAGCTAGGTAATCTTGAAAAAACAATATATTTTACCTATTGAATACATAACTGTGGGTTTTGTTTGAAAGTCTAAAAACGGTAACTTTACTATAACATACTTCTATTCAATTTTGATGACATTACTTACATTGTATTATCCATCTCTTTTCTCAACAAGTTGAAATTTGGATTCCCCTTAATAAAGGGACGTCTTTCTAAAGATCAAACACGGGGGACTGCTAGAATTATTGATTAAAATATGAAAAAAATTAGTATTTGAAAAAACAAAGTTTACAGTTATAAATTCCATCCTATGTAATATTATATATTAATACTTTAAGAGTGGTAACATAGATTCCTAAAAAACCAAACATTTTTCAACTAGAGAACGCCTACCTTTCTTGTGTGTTCCGTACTGAATTGAAATGATCTAACTTACGATAAACTCGACTACTTGATATACTCTACTAGGACGTTTAATCTCTCCCCTCTCTCACTCCCGCCGTAGAACGTCTAATCCCTTCCCTCTCTCCCTCCCGCCGTAGAACGTCTAATCCCTTCCCTCTCTCCCTCCCGCCGTAGAACGTCTAATCCCTTCCCTCTCTCCCTCCCGCCGTAGAACGTCTAATCCCTTCCCTCTCTCCCTCCCACCGTAGAACGTCTAATCCCTTCCCTCTATCCGGTAGGACGTCTAATCTCTCCCCTCTCACCCCCCCCCCGTAGAACGTCTAATCCCTCCCCTCCCCCCCCCCCGGTAGAACGTCTAATCCCTTCCCCTCCCCCCGGTAGAACGTCTAATCCCTCCCCTCTCCCCCTCCCCCCCGGTAGCACGTAAATGCCGCCCCCCCCTCTCAAAGAAATTACGTCATTGATACTCTATAATAAAAACACTGACATTACGGCCTAATTAATGTGTCTAATCTTTAAAGTGTTTTGCGTGAAGAGTTTCTTTCATGCATCTCATCGGGTAGGCGCAAAACCCCACCCCGGTAGAACGTCTATGACCCTACCCCTCCCCCCTCAAAGAAATGACGTCATCGATACTCCATAATAAAAACACTGACATTACTGACTAAATTATGTGTCTAATGTAATAAGTGTTTTGCGTGAAGAGTTTCTTTTCTGGTTTCTCTTCCTCCCCGACCCGTCGAAATTGATTCGCCCCTGCAAAACTTCAAATGCCCCACCCTCGGAAAAAAAAAGCCTGAAACGAACACTATCTGCGTGAGTAAAATTTATCGGTCGAAAGTAGGAAACGGGTCTATATTATAGAAGTGGGCTCTACCTTTAGTTTGTATGAGCTACAAATGCGACCAGTGTTTCTTTCAGAGTTATTCCTCCCTAGATGAGGGGGGGGGGGGGAGAGTCTTGAAATTTTGGTTGGCGAGGGTGGACTAAATTTTTTGGAAGGGGTAAAAATCTATTTCCTATAAAAAAAAGTATATTTCGTTGAATGGGACGGTAGACAAGCTTTAGGGTGTGTGTGTGTGTGTGGGGGGGGGGGGGGGTGCGCAGGGCGGAGGCCCCCCCCCCCCCCCCAATGCGACCTATGTCGTGTTTGAGATTAGATGCAAGGTTTAGGGGTATGACTTCGACTATGTTTAGTATCAATATGCAGTAATTACGCGTAGATCAAGCTTAATTCCGGTTATAATGCCGATTCTGGTCAGAAATCAGTTTTCAATTACATTTTTCACTTCCGGTTCAAATTAAAGTTGAGGTGGTGATTTTGTTTTAGTTTCGATTTAGAGGAAAAGACAACACTATCCATCTAGCGCCCGTTGTATCTCTCCCTCAACGGGCCATTTATCTCGTATAAGAATATTCGAGAAAGTTTAGGGGAGATCACTCCCGGTTTATTTATTACTTAAACTTTTTAAAATAGAATAGAAACTCGTAGAAAAAGAATTGCACACCAAGTGTTTAGTACTTTAAAATGCTTTCTTCCTTTATAAAACAAAAGAACATCACACATGTGTCTGGTGGTGCTATAACATTAATACTAATAGTTTCGCTGTCTGTCTATCTATCTATCTATCTGTCTGACAAGAACGCTCTAGAGAAAACACAAGGAAAATAAAAACATGCATAGTAATTCGAAAAACGAAGTATGACGTCGACACATTTAGCGCACAGAGTAGAAAATAATCTCAAGCCGGATAGTGCACACATTGATATGACGTCATTGATTTGGTCTAATTTGGTCTAATCTAAGTGGTTTGCGTGAAGTTTCTTTCATACAATTCTTCGGGTAGGGGCGAAGCCCCACCCCCGCGTAAGAACGTCTGAGCCCCCCCCCCCCTCTCCCCAACTCTCCTCATCGATACTCTATAATAAAATTACCGCCTAATTAATGTGTCTAATCTAAAAAGTGGTTTTCTTGCAATTTCTTTAATGCAATTCTTCGCGTAGTGGCTATGCGCGACACCAGTGTTTCTTTCAGACTTTTTCCTCCACGGAGAGGGGTGAGGGTACTTGAAATTTTCGGGGGCGGGGGTAGAATTTTCGGGGAGGGGGCGGACACTGGAAAAAGTAAATAATTATATTTCGTTGAATGGGACGGTAGACATGTTTTTTAGGGGGGGGGGGGGTGGGGGGTGTGGGGGGGTGTGTGGGTGGGTGGGGGGTGGTGTGTGTGGGGGTGGGGGGTGGGGAGTGGTGTGTGTGGGGGTGGGGGGTGGGTGGGGGTGTGTGGGGGTGGGGGGTGGGGGGGGGGTGGTTTTAGTTTAGAGAAAAGAGACAGCACTATCAGCCTAGCGCCCGGTGTATCCTTCCTCAACGGGCCATTTTTCTCGTCTATAATAATAGTTTAGCTGTCTGTCAAGAACGCTCTGTCTGACAAGAACGCTCTAGAGAAAACACAAGCAAAATAAAAACATGCACAGTAATTCGAAAAACGAAATATGACGTCGACACATTTAGCGTAGAGTAGAACATAATCTCAAACCAGAGAGTGCACACAGTAATATGACGTCATTGATTATCGCGTAAACATTGAAAAAAAGGAAATGTTGTCTAATCTAAATGGTTTGCGTGAAGAGTTTCTTGCATACAATTCTTCGGGTAGGGGCGAAGCCCCACCCCCCGCGTAAGAACGTCTGAGCCCCCCCCCCCTCCCCAACTCAAAAGAAATTTCCTCATCGATACTCTATAATAAAATTACAGCCTAATTAATGTGTCTAATCTAAAAAGTGGTTTTCTTGCAATGGGAAGGTAGACATGTTTTTTTTTTGGGAGGGTTGGGGGGGGAGGGGTGGAGGGGTGGGGGGGGGTGGTGTGTAGGGGTGGGGGGTGGTGTGTGGGGGGGTGGGTTGGTTTCAGTGTTTCTTTCAGACTTTTTCCTCCCCGGAGAGGGGTGGGGGGTACTTGAAATTTTCGGGGGCGGGGGGTAGAATATTCTGGGAGGGGGCGGACACTGGAAAAAGTATATAATTATATTTCGTTGAATGGGACGGTAGACATGTTTTTTTTGGGGGGGTGGGGGGTGGGGGGGCGGTGTGTGGAGGGGGTGGTGTGTGGGGGTGAGGGGTTGGGGTGGGGGGTGGTGTGTGGTGGGGGGTGGGGGTGGTGTGTGGGGGTGGGGGGTGGGGTGGGGGTGGTGTGTGGGGGGTGGGTTGGTTTTAGTTTAGAGAAAAGAGACAGCACTATCAGCCTAGCGCCCGTTGTACCCTTCCTCAACGGGCCATTTATCTAGTAAATGAATAATAAACGTATTTCATCACATCACATCGTAACTGTTGTTTAAAAAAATAAGACATACAAACTGGTTAAAATTATTAGCATTTAATTTGGCAATTTATAAAAATAGATGATCGTGTGGATATAAATTGTAGCACTGAGGCGAATGATGGAAACAATAAATCCGTTGAACACAAGCAAAATACACATGTTTGATCACGGTACTATGGTGGTAGTTTGACTAGAGGTGAAGAACAGAAGCTTCTTCATGGCAGAATATATTTAAAAAAAAAAAAAAAAAATTTATTAGCGAACGCATACACGTGAATAATTAGACACAGTAGCGTCACAGGGCTGTGGTGAGAGTGCGGTCCATGCCAGGTAACACCATTGGGGGGGGGGGGGGTGACACCAAATCGAAAAACAACGTTTTATGGTGCTGTCAAGACAATGTTTTACGGAGTTAGAATAATAAACTTATGGGGCGAGAGGGCTGACACAATACCGGAAAGGCAAAATTGTTGAAGGGGGTGGGGTGATGCCCACGGACCGATTGACACCCGTTCTAGTGACGCCACTGGAGAGACTCACACATAAGCACACACGAACATACATACAAGCATTCACCCAGTCAAACAAGCGCACAGAAACACACACACACACACAAATATATATACACATACACTCTTCGAGTGCATGTATACAAATAATCACATACTCACGCACGCAACACACACACAACATGCGCACACACATACTCAGACATCACACGCCCTGACTATGAGCACTTGCGCTCAAACATGGGCGAGGAGAAAAGTGACGTTCGTTAATAACTAGTAATGAACAATTACGTAAAATGATTTTGATTGATTTTGCATACAAAAATCGGAACAATATTATATACAATTTGGGCTTTTTAGCCTATTAGTGTAATTACGCATTGGATAATTAGTTTCATTAAAATAATTGATCGTCTGCTGGCAACATTCGGTGGTATGGTGACGTAGGAACAGAACTCAGTGTTTTAATACATCTTCCAGAGCGTTTATGTAGCTCTGGGCCATCTGCAATGTTTCGTATTTAGACAACTTCCGGTTCCCGCCAAAAGATGGGATGACATCTCGCAGACGATCGAACGCTGCGTTCATGCTTTGCATCCGCTTGCGTTCTCTGGCGTTCGCACTTGATCTGAAAAAAAAAAATCACATTACTACATCTTGTATTTTATATTACATCACAAAATACCAAACAATATCAAAATAAGAATACAACTTCGAGAAATAATAATGCATTTTATTATTTAGAGCATAAACAAACATCAGGGATTAGATGAAATTTACGCGTACAAAAAACATTATAAATCCCCTATAACAGGGGTCGGCAACCTTTTGATACGCAAGAGCCAGAAGTTACAATTTACAAAATTTTACAGTTTTTAAAGAGCCACAACATTTTTAGTTCAATATTCGGTATTTGATTAGGATTAGGTAAATAAAGTTGATTTGTTATTTAAAATAAATAGCTATAAATATGAAATAATATTTATTCATATAAAAACATAGACATGTTTCGCCAGAATTGTAAAATTAGTAATCAAATATTATTATTCTAAAACTATCTCAATCCACTTTAGAAGCTGTTAATTTTTATTTTATTTTTTCTTTACGGATATCACCGGCTCAGGTGGTGTCTTCAATTAGCCATGCAGGCCTCAACACGGCAAACGCTAACTGGCTTGGATATCGGTTTGAATAACTTGCGTCGTTTGCTTCTATCCTTTGGTTCTCACCAGGCTTATCTTCTATCTTACTGAACGCAGGGTAAAGTAGTACCCCACCGTCAAGTAAAAATGAAATTATATAAATATTAATATTTGAGCAAGTAGCTGGAGAGCCGCATCTGGACGTCAAAAGAGCCGCATGCGGCTCGCGAGCCGTATGTTGCCGACCCTATAAAAATTGGACGTTTCTGTTGTTTTGTATTTTAGAAATAACTTGTTTATATATAGATCTGATTTCAAAGTATATTTCAATGTATATCATCGAAACATAAACACCTAGCTACCCAATCGTTAACGAGGAAATCAATTGCTATCAATAATTATTATTTTTGTCACTAACACGAGCATTAATCAATAATCCGGAAACAATATTAGTAGTTTAGCTCCCATTGGCGTAGGCAAGGGGGGATTAGGGGGGTTATAACCCCTCCCATGACTAACTCCTGGCTACGCCACTGTTAGCACCTACACATTTTTTTAACTAGTTAATATAAAACCAGACACATAAACTAACTGTAAAGTAGGATATAATTAATGGGGCTCTAAACAATTGTCTACACCGCAAGTAAACAAACTGAAATATAGGACGTAATTTATGGGATTGTAAACAATTGTCTGCATCGTAAGTAAACTAACAGTTATGGGGCTCTAAAAATATAAAGTCCTGCACAGCAATAAACTAACTGTAATGTAGGTTATAATTAGTGGGGCTCTAAAGTAATTTCTGCAACCGAAAGACTTCAGTTGATTTTCAGTTGTAATTTTGTGTGTATATAGGAGTCAATTTTCGTTCCTATAAATGTAATAGTTTATCCCGGAAGAAAAGTGGTGGAAAACCAAGAAATTGATTTACTTTTAAAATTAAAATAAATCAACTTATTAGTTATAAATAGGCATATGCTCAGCTGCCAGTTTGGAAAAAAAAAAAACAACGAAAAGAATAATTTAAAAAACATTTAAAGTTTTATTTTAAATGGATTGATTAAACTATATAAATAACAATACCATAATTAATCTTAGTGTAGCCAAGGGGTCGGCAACCTTTTGAGACGGAAGAGCCAAAAGTTACAATCTGCAAAATTTCCCAATTTTTAAAGAGCCACGAACTTTTTTTTGTGCACTTCGGTAGTGGAAAACATGGAACCATTGCCAGTGGGCTGGCCACAGCACACTTGTGGGGCTGGGCCTAATGCCCATCGGCTGTCCGCCAGTGTTTCTTCCAGGCATCTATTCGGCTACCCCCCCCCCCACCCCCGAAGAGAGTCCACGCCCCCCCCCACCCCGGAGAAAAAAAGTCTGGAATAAACACTGCTGTTAGCTGTTCATATACGCTCTACTCCACCAGTTCTCGTTGTTGTTTTTTTTAAATTTTGTTTAAAGTTGTTTTTGTTTTTTAATTTATAATGTTTTTGAGTTTCGAAAATAATATAATTATTATGGAACTGGAGAGCCGCATCTTGACATCAAAAGAGCCGCATGCGGCTCGCGAGCCGCAGGTTGCCGACCCCTGGTGTAGCCTAATGAATTTAATTAATGGAAATAAAAAGGAATCTGTATTGCTATTGCTAGAAAACTACTTAAAAGGCTATTATAATTATGTTTTAGATGTTTCTATTTTTTAAATATACTCACCGCCTTTTAACCACTACGTCACCATCTTGACCTTCCTGTACTGAAGGCGACCCCTTGTTGTCAAGGTCACTGTGAGTGTAGTACGAGCAATAGCTTTGGAATAGGTTGCTCATGCACCCTCGATCAGATTCAGTAGCAACATTGTCAAATATTGTGCTGGATTGTTTCCCCTTCTCGCAGGCGCTGAAACTCGTATAAATGTTTAGGGCGTCTGTGCCTAGATCGAATAAACAGGAGCTACTGTACTCGGTGGTTTTCGGCGAATGGTAGGTCGACCAAACAGAACTGTAGTCTGCTGGGGTGTTGATCTGCGCGGTGCCAGAACAGTGCTCGTGTAGCGGCACGCGTGGTGCCGGAGACGTGCAGGTTTCCGTGACGTGGGCGCCGGTCACGGGGAAGCACGCGCCCTGAGCCTCGCACTGTTTGAAGTGTTTGACGTCATCTTTTGACGAGCTGCGTGTTTCTTTGATGACGTCACGCCTGCGCTTTCTCTCCGCCGGTTTATCTCCGTGTGCAGTCATCGTTTCCGGTAACCAGCTCTGTCTTGTTGCCGACAATTTGTTTCCGGAAATTATTGATTACCAGTTTCCGTTAACTGGTTGTCTGTGTCGGAATTTTTTTTTTCTTCTGTTTCCGGCAAGCGGATTTCTTGTTTCCAACAACAAATGATTGTTTGTATCCTGGCAACCACTTTCCTGTTTCTGACAATTAATGTTTTTTTTTTTCCGGCAACCGGTTTACTGTTTCCGACAATGAATATTTGCTTGTTTCTTGAAGCCGCTTTCCTCAAATGGCTACAGGAAGATGCTGGTCTAGTGATAGGACCGAGCTTGTTATCCCGGATGTATCTCTGAAATAAGACCAAGTTCCAGCGGTCTCAGCCTCGAGTCTTGAGAGAAGCACCTCTCTACCTGGAGTGGCCGGAAACGCGGAGGTGCCTGTTTATATTTGCCGTGAGCGCTCCCCCCACTCCCCAACAGATCGTGAATTATTGGCCTCGTGAGCTCATCGATAACACAGCGATTAGCCCACAGGTAAAACTTTTTTTTTATAACTCCCTCACCCCCGGGACTGTACGACTCAGGTGAGACAAAAATCGATCAGGTACCGCTCACCGGGAGGCAACGCTTCACTGGCCACAAGACCACGCCCACTTTACCTGCTCTTTACCTAACTCGTTGATTGGTCGCTTCCCGGAGAAGACCGGTAGGGGAGGGTTGGAGGGATGAGACGCTGGAGGAAAGCCCAGCCACCGAATGGTTTTATTACAGCATAGATTGATGACTGACCGCGTTGTTGTGACGGGGTCATTAAGTTTAATATTCACCCGCGTTTGTTGATACGGGGGGATAACTCTAATGATGCCTTTGAAGGGGGGTTAATGCTAAAGAAGATCAGGTTTTACGTTGATAGTGGTTTTCATACAGGGTTTGAAGTGTTTTATATATATACTAGGCATGCTGCCCAGCTTCGCTTAGGCTTTCGAAAACATTGAGAATTTGAATGCTTAATTAATTCGCCCGAAGGTCGGTCTACGACCTCAAGAGTTATGAAGAGGTTCCTCCGTGGACATTTTTTTTCGATTTATAGCTCATATAAGGTACCGGTCAGTCGAGGTCAGTTTTGACCCCCACATCGTAGACTTTTCGGCCAACCGGCCCCCGTGTTCTGTCGCACCAAGGCAAGATCATGCCAAATTTGAAGCGCCTGCGGCGCCGGGAAGTGCCCTATCGGACACCCGACAATCTAGATCTAGATCTAGATTCCTAAAAGAATTTTTTTTTTAAATTTAGCCCGAGCATAATAAAAAAGAATACATTAACCAAGTTGACTTGCTGTGTCTCGAACCCGCACCACCTGCGTGGTTTAATGTACACTAACATCTCCGCTATTTAGGCACCTTATAAAATACGGAGAATGAAACACGTATTTTAAAATCTTAACTTACGCGAATATGCCTATTCTTTCAAATTAATTTTTTATCCCAAATTAGCCAGTTCCAAACAAAGATTTTGTATAAAATAAATAAGTCTTGAAATAGTTTAGTCCTAATATAGACATTTATTTTTGGAATTGATTTTAGAGAAGTTAGAGTCTAAATCTAGATCTTAGCGTCTACGTCTAGATCTAGTTATTGCGTAGATTTAGATTTAGATTTAGTCTAGATCTAGAATCTCTAGATCTAGAATCCAAATACATAAAATAAATTTTATGAGTTTAGGCCGGAAAAAATTGTATTGTATACATTTCATAGTGTACGTAGATCTAAATCAAATTTGAATGAAATAGTTCATTTCTTTTCATTCTTAACACGGCAGATGACGTCATTAGTTAATGTATAAGCAATAGTGACGTCACAGTTTTATGCGTTCTTTTTCACATATATTAATGCTTTTCCGGTTGCATAAATAATACTGTTTCTCTACATTCGAATACGCCTTTAATTTTTATTTTTCTTCTTTAAGTAAAATTGTGGTTATACATTTAAAACATCTAACATATTATTTTCAACAAAAGTCCGTAAAAAGTTCTCCATATACCGCTGCCGATTCTGACGTGATGTCCGGCGAAAATTTTTTGCGGACAGAGAAAGAGAGAGAGAGAGAGAAGAGCGCACATGGCCTTTTATAAATTAGGATAGACTATATGTTTTTTAAAATAGGTTCTCATGTAGGGTTTGAAGTTGTTTTGTATACGGTTTATATTTGTTTCTATTGTTTGAAGTGGGTTTTATATACGGTTTATATTGATTTTCTTATATGGTTTCAGAGGCGTAACGGGGGGGGGGGGGGGGGGGGCGGGGGGGGGGGGGGGGGAGGGGGGCAGGGGGGACAAATGTCCCCGGGCGCCGACCTTAGGGGGTGCAAATCGCAAGTTTGAGATGGGTGGTGCAAATCGAAATCTTGAGGGGGGGGGGGTGCAAATCAAAAGTTTGTCCCCGGGCGCCGGGAAGGGTCGCTACGCCTCTGTATGGTTTGAAGTGGGTTTTATATACAGTTTATATCGGTTTTCATGTACAATTGATAGGGGTATTTAAGTTTACATAAGTCTGTCTTTCTAAGAACTCAGTTGAGTATATGTGTACTTTTCTTATTATTATGATTATTAGGACCTATTTCGATATAAACCGTTAATATTTTTATATAATATGTGTACATATTTATCCATTGTTTGATTGATGTTTATATTTAAGATAAACCGACCAATGGTCTAATATTAATTTAAAAAAAAAACGAGCTGCAACTACAACATAATGAAGACCGGCCAAGTTGTTCACTTTAACCAAGCGATACTACAAAGTAAGAAACTGAACCTCGTCCAGCCATATCTACTCAGAATACAGCTGGGTTTAATAGCTGAAGGTCAAGGTCGCCGAGACGACACGCCCTCATTGACAGATAAAGTTGATATTTTTTTAAATCCCACCAGCCCGGTTCTATACACCATCCTGCCCAGGGCATGCCCCTACAAACACTGAGAATTCTATCGACCCTTACTCTTTGACCTTTCACATCCAGCTAGGAAGTGGTTAGAATATTTGTCTTCCCAACCAAATCCATGCACAAGAGTGGATTTCGCTTCACTAAAAAGATGAAGACCCTCAAACCATCCGTCTCTTAAGTGTCGGAAGTACTTGGTTACACGTTCCGAGTCCTGTTTGTTAAGGATATAGCAACTGGATGAGACGGGTTTTACTAGTCATAGCTTACACCCAAGTCGGCAATAGATTTACTTTCCATTTCGCTACAAGTATCCCGCGTGGTATACACGTGTACTCTACCAACTACACCGCAGACAGAAACCCCACCATCAACACCTCATACCTCACTATCAACATCCACATACCTCACTATCTACATCCACATACCTCACCATCAATATCCACATACCGCAATATCAATATCTACATACACCACCATCAACACCTCATATCTCACTATCAATATCCACATACCTCACCATCAATATCCACATACCGCAATATCAATATCTACATACCCCACCATCAACACCTCATATCTCACTATCAACATCCACATACCTCACCATCAATATCCACATACCGCAATATCAATATCTACATACCCCACCATCAACACCTCATATCTCACTATCAATATCCACATACCTCACCATCAATATCCACATACCTCACTATCAACATCCACATACCTCACCATCAATATCCACATACCTCACGTGGGTCTCTTCCTAAATATTAGTAAAGGTATCCAATAGATACTAAAGTATAAAGCAACGTTATTTTAAACAAAATAAGTTAGGTAACACTTTATATATTAAAATAAGTGTAACCTTGCATCTTTTTTGTTTTATTACATTTTTTTAGCAGTAAAGTCTAAAATATTTTGTTTTCAAACTCTCTGAAATGGCATATTTTTACTGACGTTCCTCTAGCAATTTTAGATCTTTTTTAAAGGCACCTACACAGTGCCGGTGCCAGGTTATTTAGCGCCCTGTGCAAAACTTATTAAAACACCCCCTTTCACACAAATTAATTACTAAAACATATGTATAAGAAAACAATTAATTTAAAGTGACATTAATTTATTATCAATTGCATACACGTTATGAGTAGATATGAAAATCAAATTTACTTGCCTCCTTCGCGCAAAAGTGTGTACTAATTCCTTCAATTCCAGTTTGCAAGCGTAATCACATTCTGTTGAAATTGTTGCAAAGTCCACGAGTCTACTTTGTACTTTACGACATACCCCCCCCCCCGTCTGGAAAAAAAAAACACCGAAGAAAACACATATTTCTTGTGGTATTGGGCTCTCTGCAGTCCTCCCAAGGTGAGTTCCAGAACGGAACGTATCTGTTCAAAGCTTGACTGTCTTTAGGTATAATTGTATCATACGCAACTATTTAGTTGTTTTATTTTATACTTTTCAGTAGTTCATAATTTGTAAATTCGACAGTACCAATGCTGCCACTGAAAATATTTGCTTTAAAACACTAAACCCCCATTCTCTCTCTCTCTCTCCCCCCCCCCCCGTGAAAGCAGCCTCTTCTTAGTTACCTCCTCCAAGTTTAAAATAGTTTCAAACTGAATTATCTGCCCCTAATAGCCGTCACCAAACTCTCTATCGACCCTTACTCTTTGACCTTTCACATCCAGCTAGGAAGTGGTTAGAATATTTGTCTTCCCAACCAAATCCATGCACAAGAGTGGATTTCGCTTCACTAAAAAGATGAAGACCCTCAAACCATCCGTCTCTTAAGTGTCGGAAGTACTTGGTTACACGTTCCGAGTCCTGTTTGTTAAGGATATAGCAACTGGATGAGACGGGTTTTACTAGTCATAGCTTACACCCAAGTCGGCAATAGATTTACTTTCCATTTCGCTACAAGTATCCCGCGTGGTATACACGTGTACTCTACCAACTACACCGCAGACAGAAACCCCACCATCAACACCTCATACCTCACTATCAACATCCACATACCTCACTATCTACATCCACATACCTCACCATCAATATCCACATACCGCAATATC